AGGCTCAGCATTTATATATTAATACAACTGATAGGAGACAGACTGAGCTCAGGTAGAAGTTCCTGTAACCTGAAGTGTGTTTCTTCCACCCAGCACACTTTATTATTTCATGTCTTTACAAAGTCTGCCACAGTTCGGGGACTTAATCACTCGCTGGCACCGATGTTGAGCTGGAGGGGAAGAGGGAACATGTGGACTTTAGTGCAGGCACACAGTCAGAGATTTAAGACCAGAGAGACCTCTTGTCCAGATCTCTCTACCAGCTGTGACACCTCTTCAAAGACCTGACTGAATTATTGAACACACTGCGGCCCTCCTGACCGCTGCGGCCGCGGGAAGACGGATGGAGTTTCCATTTAAATGATTGACCCGTCGTCGCTGCTGGCGCTTTGAATCCCATTTCAACATCCGGTCTGAGTCACTGTGTAACTCATCTGTTCTACAGAGCTTGTTTCTCACAGGTAAAAAAATCTGTGAGTTTACAGATTGTTTCTGTATTTTAATATACAATACATTTATTACATAGAAATATTAAGTTACAAAAATATCCTGTGAATTTATATATTGAATGTAAAATAACATGAACAATTTGTAACGCAGATATTTACTGTTTATTTAATAGAATAAACTGTTAAATTCAAGTTTAATACTGTTAATACATTTCTACAATTATGTAAAGTTAGTGACAATTAACAGTAAAAAGTACTTGTGTAATTTTACAAATTTTAATTGACAGATATCTTATATAATTATAGAAGTATTCACAACAAACACATTGAATAAATGTTTTTTATCAGTGTATAAGCATTGATTAGATTTGTAACTTTTCCTTTTAATAATTTTTGTACAGAAAAAATCCTCCAACCTGAATGAAACACATCGGATGCTCTGTGAGCCACAACAGCAGCGCTGCATTCGGTACCACGTTGGTTTTACTTTCAAACCACACCTTAAAATGAGGGTTGTGTTCTTCACATTTCTACAATTATGTAAAATCAGTGACATTAACAGTACAAAGTATTAGTTGTGTAATTTTAATGTATTTATTAGTTAACTGACAGATTCTTGTATAATGATGGAAGTTGAATAAATGTTGTTTATCAGTGTATAAGCATTGGTAAACTGTCCAAATACAGTTGTTATCAGTGTAAACAGCAATAATTACTGTAATCTTTTAGCTGCTTTTCTTAATGTATTTTATCACTTGTATTATTATTGGTTGCTGATTTTAATGTGTTATTGCCCTTAGTGTTTTTTGTTATTTTGTTTTTTTCTTGGTTTCTGTAGCACTTTTAGATTCTGTAGATTCTTTTATGAAAAGTGCTTTACAAATAAAATGTATTGTTGTTATTATTATTAATTTCACAATTAATGACTTTTATTACAGTTCTATAACTTTTAACATTCAGATTTCCTTTTACTGTAATATTAGAAAAAGTTCTACCGTGTTTATTATAGTAAAACCAAAGCTGGATTCACCTGCAGGCGGCGGCTAAGGGATGTCATGTAATTTTAACGTGGACAAACGTGTGAGTGATGGATGGACTTTCCTTTTTTTTAGCGCTGTTTGCCAGCACGCAGGCAGCCCGCGGAGGCTGTTGCTGGCGGTGGGCGGCGATAATGTCCCCTGGCTCCACAGACTGATTGAGATGGCTCTCTGTAGATAATCTGTGTGAGGACGTCCTCAGTGCTGTGTAACTGATCAGCTCTGGGTCACATTAGCATCTGAAATCCCTCCAACAGAGAGCAGCTATCTGCCAAAGTAATCAACATCAGCGCACAATAACGGAGCTCCTTCCAAGGTCCAGGCTCAGTTTCAAGAAGGGAACTGTTGGGAGGACGTGAGCTGATTTACAGTCTGTACACATAATAGCAGATTGAAAATGAAATATTCAGGATTCTTCTGTCTAATCCGATCTGTTCACATCGGATATTAAAACTAACTCTGTTTTATTCTCTGCTACCAGAGGCGGAGTCTTTCTGCCTGCGGCCAATCATACTACAGTCCTTCACATAGTCTGTTTAACATGGACAAGAGACCACGAGTTGAGCTGCTCTCATTGGCTGCTCTTGGTTTGGAAACAATGGTGACCGCCTGCTCACACAGGATCTGGTGTTCCAGATAAACAGTAAAATGTGTTTGTGAACAGATTTGAGGAGAGAAATAGTCAACAACAGAATCTGGATCCATATCTGATCAGCACTGTTTGACAGTTTGATCTGAGTTTGGTTGAGCTGGACGGACTCACTGAGAATGAGCTGTCAATCACAAGGTAGCCCCGCCCTAAAGCATACCCTGCTTTATGGTCTGTTTTACTCTCAATGGGACCATCAGTTACTAAATGAACACCATGCTGTATGGAAGAAGACTGAAACTAGAGACTGAGACCAGAAACTCATCAGGAAACTGTTTACTGAGCTCATTAATTAACTTCTCCATAAGACTCAATACTATCAGAGTAGAGCTTCCCCCTACTGTCCGTCAGAGAGAATGCAGGTTCAAGAAACTGTCCGTTATATAAACTGTCAGTGGTCAGTACTCACTGGTCTCAGAGAATCAGGGTTAGGGTACAACAGTATGGAGACGCAGCGTGTGATGATAGAAAAATGTGAAATAGTTAATTTTGTTGTGTCACAAATCATCCGTAGTTCATAAGAGAAAATTCAAGTCTTTGTGTTTAATAAAGTCACCTGAAGAACACAACCCTCATTTTAAGGTGTGGTTTGAAAGTAAAACCAACGTGGTACCGAATGCAGCGCTGCTGTTGTGGCTCACAGAGCATCCGATGTGTTTCATTCAGGTTGGAGGAATTTTTCTGTACAAAAATTATTAAAAGGAAAAGTTACAAATCTAATCAATGCTTATACACTGATAAAAAACATTTATTCAATGTGTTTGTTGTGAATACTTCTATAATTATATAAGATATCTGTCAATTAAAATTTGTAAAATTACACAAGTACTTTTTACTGTTAATTGTCACTAACTTTACATAATTGTAGAAATGTATTAACAGTATTAAACTTGAATTTAAGAGGTTATTCTATTAAATAAACAGTAAATATCTGCGTTACAAATTGTTCATGTTATTTTACATTCAATATATAAATTCACAGGATATTTTTGTAACTTAATATTTCTATGTAATAAATGTATTGTATATTAAAATACAGAAACAATCTGTAAACTCACAGATTTTTTTACCTGTGAGAAACAAGCTCTGTAGAACAGATGAGTTACACAGTGACTCAGACCGGATGTTGAAATGGGATTCAAAGCGCCAGCAAATGTAATTTATTCTTTATATGTGGAAAAAAAGAAAATTGTCTTTAAATATGCAGTTACAGATTTTTCACATTTTAAATTAGATATGTTAATTCACAGGATATTTTGTGATAAATTGTAAAACAGATTTATTTTACACTTTAATATTGTGATATTTTTAGGGACATTACAACCTCGTACTGTTACAACCGGTTTGTATGTAAAATCTTGTGTGTACAGAAAATGTATTTCTTAAGTAAAGTAGCTCAGATTTGGGTAAATGTACCGAGTTACATTCCACATTAGATTACAGGACGTTAATAAAATGTAGATAAACCACAGTCCCTGAGGTCACTGAACGCCACCTGTAGTGCTGAGTGCAGATAACTGAGGTGGAATTTATCCATATTGATGTTGCACTAATAGAGTATTCATTACTCATTAACAGCAGTCAAGCTGTCAAATCAATGAGACCTTTTGCTTTAGGAAGCCGCCGGAGCCAAAGCAAAGCGCTTGTTTAACAGCAGCCGGAAGATAAAATCTGAGCTATAAATCTGAGACTGAGAGAGTCCATATCTCACGATGCCATTACTTACTTTCACTGCGCAGTGAAGCTTTACAGTGTATGAGACACACAGGAAACACTTTCCTTTTAGATCATTTTACAGACGTAGATCTTTTCCTTAAAACACTGTGAACCAGAACTGTTCAGTACCAGAGTTTTCTGTTAGAAATGTTCAGTCTGGGTCTCCAGCAGTTACACTGACTGACGCTAACCTGCATATGTTGGACAATTAGAATCATTACCATTAATAATCAGCTATATGGACAGTATCTCAGCAGCCGATTGGCTGATTGGGACAATCAAGGTGGTTGTGGGTTACTGAGGATGCTGAATCCATTTCTGACATTTTTAAAATAAAAAAAATGGACGTTTAAACCAGAAGTGTAAATATTTCCACTCCCAGTGGGCTGATTGTGATTGATTTTAAGGTTATTGGTAGAATTAATACATTGTATGTAAATGTTCTGCATTTTGTCGTTGACTCTGCCGCTGTGGTTATTAATCAACTTATTAATCAAAATAAAACCAAACTGATAATTAAAATAAACACTTTAACAAACATCAGCGTGAGAAGAACGACCTAAAATGACAGAAACTATATTTCAAAATTTGAAATTTAAATACATTAAACACATTAAACGATGTTTAAATACTTGGTTTAGTGTGTTAGCATGCTAACATTTGCTAATAAACAAAAGTAGAGCTGAGTGCCTGATTGAAATTCACTAGTCTTCCAGTCATGGAAACGCCTGGAAATTGATTAAAAAGACAAAATATTCTGTAAATGTTTACTATCGTCTATGCTGTGGCAAAACCTATGTTATGTTTTGAGAATTTTTTTTTGCCAAGTTAGCCACAAAAGCAAGTTAACACAGAGTGTCCTGGAAATCGATTTCTTAAAAAGAGGTATTTTTCAAGTATTAGACACATTAAATTGTTGACCTGATGATGGCACTAGATAAAGTCAGACGAACATGAATGTCTGAACCACATCTGTCCAATAGTAGTTGAGATATTTCAGTCTGAATCACAAGTTGCTATACCTTTAGCCACACTGCTAAAAACAAGTCGTCAGTGGACGTCAGACTTTGCTAATTTCACTACATTCCCTGAATTATTCCCTGAGATGAAGATGTTTTCTAACTGCTGTCTCTCGTGCTCTCTCTGTAGATCGAGGACATGCAGTGGCCTCGAGGGGAGCAGGACATTCCCAGCTCCGTGTGCAGCCTTCCCTGTAAAACCGGCGAGAGGAAGAAGGTGGTGAAGGGCATGCCGTGCTGCTGGCACTGCGAGCCCTGCGATGGCTACCAGTACCAGTTCGACGAGTTCAGCTGCAAGCTCTGCTCCTACAACATGAGGCCCAACGCCAACCGCACGGTGTGCCAGCCCATACCCATCATCAAACTGGAGTGGCACTCGCCCTGGGCAGTGATCCCGGTTTTCCTGGCAATGCTGGGGATCATCGCCACAATCTTCGTCATGGCTACGTTCATCCGCTACAACGATACGCCGATTGTCCGAGCGTCCGGCAGGGAGCTGAGCTATGTCCTCCTCACTGGGATATTTTTATGTTACATCATCACGTTCCTCATGATCGCCAAGCCAGATGTCGGCGTGTGCTCGTTCAGGAGGATCTTCCTGGGTCTGGGTATGTGCATCAGCTACGCCGCGCTGCTCACCAAAACCAACCGCATCTACCGGATCTTCGAGCAGGGGAAGAAGTCGGTGACGGCTCCCCGGCTGATCAGCCCCACCTCACAGCTGGCGATCACCTCCAGCCTCATCTCAGTCCAGCTGCTGGGGGTGTTCATCTGGTTTGTGGTGGATCCGCCCAACACCATCATCGACTACGACGAGCAGAAGACCTTCAACCCGGATCTAGCGCGAGGGGTGTTGAAATGTGACATCACAGATCTTCAGATTATCTGTTCGTTGGGTTACAGTATCCTGTTGATGGTGACGTGTACTGTTTACGCCATAAAGACCCGCGGGGTCCCGGAGAATTTTAACGAGGCCAAACCCATCGGGTTCACCATGTACACCACCTGCATCGTCTGGCTGGCTTTTATACCTATCTTCTTTGGCACGGCGCAATCTGCAGAGAAGGTAAGAGCCAACGCATGAATGAGTGGAAGATATGTAGATGATGAACTGCAGGATGGATGAATGGATGATGGTTACAACTGTTCATGTTCAGTGGGGAACTCACAAACAATGTAAAATGGCACCATCAAAGAGTGGCGTTAATTGTGCTCTACCATCAAAAGTGGCATTCGAACATCTATACACTCGCACACAGTAATGAAGTCAGAAACAGATTCCTCTTTATTGGGAACTGATCTGAAATCTGCACTGTTCAATATTAAATGTTTTGTAAAGCCTGTTTTCCATTTGATCATTCAGAATTCAGTGAAGGAATTTACAGCTTTACAGTCAGTGAACTTTATCATAAAATATCATTCTAAAATAAATAATAAAACCATCACAAGAGAATAAAGCTGCAATTACAAATCGCCAACAAATTACAATACAGCAGAAATCCACGCTGAGCTTTTCTGCATCGTTCCTGTCGATGAAAGCTTTAATATGAAACTCAGGTTGCAGTGAAACGACACAGAAATGACAAAGTCGGATGTTCTTGTTCAGTTTTACACCTGCAGGAATGAAGTTTAATGTCGCTGTTGTTTTTGGTTTTTTATCAGACACAATGAAACTGAATTCAGTCACAATGTTGAGGAAAGTTACAGGAGACTTGTTAGGAAAGTTTGGAAGGTTCTTACTTTAATTGCGTGACCTTTACATCTTATCACGACTTTATGGAAACTGAATGAAATGAGTGTCTGCTGTTAATAAGCTTTAAGGTAATGCGGGGGTGAATAATGATTAAGTGAGCTCTGTTGAACTGGTTTGTGTCCACAGATAACCTATTTTATTTTATTAGGAAGAAACCGCAAATTCTTTCAGCAGTCTTTACATGAATGTATTCAGGGCATGTTATAAAGACTAAAATTCAATTATATGAATTTAAAATGTCTTAAATCTGCTCTTAAAAATTGACTGGATTAATGCTAACGTTAACTCATGTTACGCTATGAAAATATGTATTGATCGCGCTGTAACTTTGTCTAAAAAAATATTCTATTGAATGTGAGTTGAGTGTATCATTACATCCTCAAAACATAGCCTTAGATAAGTATCGTTAGCTACTTTAGCTGCTAAATGTAGCTGCTGTTAGCTGGTTAGCAGTGCAGCTAACTTAGCCGTCCACCACTAGTAAAGTAAATAAATGTAAAAATACAAGTAAATGTCCATCAGTAAACTCTGTAAAAGGTTGGCCCAACCTCAAAATCCAAGATGGCTGCTTCAGACGTCAGTGAAGTGAAGCTGTAATAATATTAAGTTTGTTGGACTCATTAAACACAGTAATGTCCAACTTCTGTCTGTGAACATTTGTATGAGCAAAACACAGCGTAATGCTGTTATCAGCTGGTATCGCTAACAGTGGCTAACGGCTAACCTGACTTGCTTTTCCAACTTTGGACCTCTGAGGTAAATAAACGTACCGTTACACAGACTGAGCATGCTCAGTCGTGCTTTGTCTGAATCAGATAATGAAGACTGACGCAGAATGGTCACGTAAAGTGGAGCAAAGGTTGGAAACGTCTGATTCTGAGCTTACATTCACCTCATTATTTAACACCTCGAGTTTCAAACTAATGACAGAAGATGAGGAAAAGCATAAACATACATTCATTAATACAAAGTTCCACAGCTTTATGTAGGCGATCTGAGTGAGCTGATAAAATACATTTCCAGGATTTTTGGGTCATTTTATTACATTTCTAGGTGTTTTCATGAACCTTGATTTACACTTCAAAGATCATAAACGTGTTTATTAGTGAAGATTATCTTACTGAACAAATCATAAATTATTGTTCTCCACAGACATTATTTTCTGCAATAATCAGAAATCCAATGGTACAATCTCATTGGCTGTTTGTGAAGAAACCAGAACGATGCCTCAACCATACATCCTCACTGCAGCTCTGTATCAAACGGACAGATACACAGACGTCTGAGTGAGAAAAACCATTACATTTGAACGTTTCGGTCATTGAATGCATCGCGTGTCAATGAAAGTTTTTCCGCCGCAAACTGTAAAAATCTGTCAGACACTGAATCAGGTCGACACACATTTCTGGAAGCAGTGACCGTAAGCAGCAGAATTTAAACAGCATTTTGATTAAGTACAAATATCCGTCTGATACCTCGCAGTGACTGAAGTGTCGGTATAGAGCTGTAAACCGGCCGCGGGCAGAGATTAAGAGGCTTCCCTGAGGAGGATATTTGTGTTATCGGCGGTCCAGGTGACAGCGTCCGGCTCTGGGGTTTGATCTTTGGCAGAGTCTCTGGAAGGACTAAGCCTCTCTGCTGGGCACTCAGCATTAAAGAGATGGATTGGGGTAAACTGGTGTCCTGTCCACAGGGATACACTTGTCCACCTAAACCGCTTCGGGCCACGGAGGCAGCTGATAAGCTCCCGACCTCTGAACTGCTGTCAGTGCTCCGACAGTTCATCAGCAAACTTTTATTATCAGCATCCAGATAGAAAAAGATTTGTATTGCTTCTAATGTGTTTTATTTCTGTGTTAAATCATCGACTGTCATCAGGTCCTCCACTGTTTTACCTATACGCTAACGTCCTGATCAATCCAAGTCATTTAATATTGATAATACGGCCAATACCAAGTCCTGATCCCATACTGTCCTACGCCTGCAACCACGCTGCTCCAGTATCTGTCCAACAGGGACAGGAAGTCCTGTTTTAGGTATCTTCAGGTGTTCTTAATGGTATTTTAGAGTTTCCTGATAATCGATAAAAGTATTTGATGACTCGTCCTGCACTCGTCCTCCAGCTGCTCAGTTTCAACTCTCTGTGATTGACAGATAGCTTTAGCTAAAGTAGCTAACCGCTAATTGTGACACAACCGGGCTCAGCAGCTGGACCGGGATCGAACACAGCCTCCGTTACACAGTTAAGACAACTTAAAGGTGATTAAATATAAAGTCTGTAGACACAATGTTCATAATGCATTATAGACGGTTTCCAAACAGTCCAACACACTGAAATAATAATCACATTATTACGGATTAAAAACAATATTCTCCTCACTAAACTGCAGGAAGATGGAGGAAAATAAAATGTGTTTCTGAATGTTCACATAAATAGGATGGAGGTGATTTCTGTTACAGTGAGGATGGGTAATGGAAGAGGATGATAAAGCCTGTGCAGCAGCCGGCGGAGAGCAGGAGAACAGATCTGTGCGGATAAAGCCAGAAAGTACAGAGCGATCTGCAGTGTGGTAAATTGGGAGGCTGGGGAGAAAGGGGAAGAAAAGCACAGCGTGATCTGTGGTGGGAGGAAAAAGGAGAGGATGAAACAGAGGAGACAACAGAGAGGTATATATATGTGAGAGGTGGTTTGGCTCCGAGGCGTTTTCCTCCAGCGCTGCAGGAGCCGCAGACTGAGAGCCAATTCGAGGCTGCATCGTTCTGACGTTAGCGTCCAAAATCAATCAATAAAGTCATATTTCACACACAACAACAAAAGACGTCTTTATTAACTGTACAATCTGTAATTTACTGTGAATGCTTTCATAAGGTTTCAAACCAAGGTACCGGTTAGCGTCTCCTTTTTAACACACGGTTAATGCTGTGAAACTGTCGCAGTTCGGTTCCATTAAAGGCAACAGAACTTCTGGTTTAGAGTCAGAAAACCATCATGTTTGGGTTCAAATAAGTCCACAGGAAACAGGAAGCAGAGAGCTGTTAGCTTCCTCGTGTTTTACTGTAAAAACAGGCAGTTAAAGAGCGACTAGCCAGCAGCTAATAGCACTGAATCAGCAGCTGTAACGGTTCTATTAGTGGACTCTGCTGGATCAATATATACTGCAATATAATATACACATATATAATATACACATATATAATATACACACATATAATATACACATAGAACAGATAGAACAGATGTAACAGGAAGTCAGAGAGAAAGAAAACAGAGTTTGTGTTTGTACAGTGTGTGTGTGTGTGTGTGTGTGTATTTGTGTTTGTGTGTGTGTATATATATATATATATATATATATTGTGTGTGTGTGTGTGTGTGTGTTGACGTCAACCAGCTGAGTGGAGCAGTGAAATTCTGGCCTTTGCTGCTTGTCATTACCTACCTGGTCCAAGACGAGCAGAATACAAATGTGAAACTGCTGCACATACACACACACACACACACACACACGTAATACACACATAATACACACACATACACACACACACACAATGTATATACACAATACACACACACTGGCAGACAGGCCGAGAGCAGAGCAGGCATGAAGAGAGAGAAGACTCAGAGTGAGAGGGTTGGACTGATGCACCGAAGGCAATGGGTGAGGAGGGAGGGAGAGGAGGGTGAGGAGGCACTGGGTGAGGAGGGAGGGAGAGGAGGGAGGGTGAGGAGGGATGGGAGAGGAGGGAGGGAGAGGAGGGAGGGAGGGAGGGAGAGGGAGGGGCTGTCGGTGTGTTCAGGAGGCCAGTTTAAAGACAGCGGTACCGAGGTGATTTATGGAGTTTCCAGATGGACTTGTTGCTGAAAGAAGCTAACTGTCGCCAACAGTAATGTTAGATGCTGTTAGCTAGTTAGCTCATGCAGCTAACGAATGTAGACCAGAGGTGTCAGGAGCCAAAACAGGCAAAAAACTCCTCAGTACTTTATTCCCTGTTGTCAAACTGTCCTTCGTCAGCATCAGATGCTGTATTCAGTGCCAGTCTGGCAGAGTCAGGTTATAGGACCGCTACAGCTACATATTAGCTCTGTGCTTCCTGTTTCATGTGGACTTTAATATGTATAGCACTGTGGGGCCCTTGTGGACCAGGTGTGTCACTGCGAGCAGCAATCACACAATTACAGTGAATTATTTAGGTCGTATATCTGCACACGTACCAATGAAAGGCTTAAAATTAGCTGAATGTGGCTGAAGTGGAGGTAAAGAAAGAGTGGTCTCTGATCTGAGCCCAGTGATCTGTGTGGAAGAGGTTTACTGAGG